ACAAAAAGTCCACATGATTTAAGGTGTAAGTGGCAAATGGCTATTGCAGCTCATGCACAACTGCAATCATCTTCGTATGGCGAGTGTAGAGAAACGGAGAACCTTTTTACTGGAAACAAGGCATTCCATCTTAGTCCTTAGATGTGACGACTGCATTTTGATTCTTAATTGAGAATAAATGTAGAATGTCTATGGTCCACAGCATCCATTCACTATTATGTGGACGGTGTGCTCGTTTGTTACAATTAGTCTATAAAAAAACCTACCTTGGAGAGCGCTATTTGACGGAGCGCGTCCCTCACTTCTTCATTCGCGTGCACTACCACTGTCACCACTAATACTTAAACCGACTCCTAAATACCATCTCACTAAAAACCACTGTCGATACCTAATACGATGTGTTTCGGCTCTAAGAGACTGCGACGTCTAACTGTTAAATGGTTTGGGGGATGTTGGGTACGATAAGCACCACATAATCAAGTACTATAATTTTTTCTCGGTTGAAAATTAAACATATTTTTTATAGGATAAGGGTTAAAAACGAGCACACAATCCACCTGATGGTAAGTGGTTGCTGTGGCCCATAGACATCTACATATTATATCGTCGATGACGAATCAAAATGCAGATGCTTTGTCACCCGTGACAACTAAGGTGGAATGCCTCGTTTCCAGTAAAACGGGTCTCCAGTTCTCTACACTCATACGAAACACAGCAGCGCTGGTATCCTGTGAGAGCGTGGTCCTACCCCGGTCGGCCCACCCATTCGTGCTACAACTATACCAGTAATATAGCTACAGCATGGCTCTACCACGTAAAAACCTTTTAACACAGTACTTTTTAACAGATTTATGACCCCAATACTAGATATTTCTCACCTTTGCCACCGCTGCTCGTTGCCGGTCTGAGAGATTTACATCTGGCGTGAATGATATGGTTATATATCTATTGGAAGTGACATTGGTCTGTCACTATAGATCAAAGGACCAACAATCGATGGTATGAAAAGTTCTCGAGTGGCAGCCTCGTACTGGAATCGCAGTATCAGGCGATCCACCACTAAAGTGCCTAATGAAATACACGATAAAGTAGTCGATGGACGCAGTTGTAAGCTTTAACTGGCATTTTTCACATAATATTTCAGTAACATTATATAGCAATAGCAAAATAGCCTAGTGATTAATGCCCGATTTCTATATTCAAGAATCGTTTCGTTTTCCGTAACGACCGTTGCATACGAGGTGCATGTAAAAAATGTTTATATTTCAAACTATTCATTCAGCAACTTAGGATTAGTTAAAATAAAATAAAAAAACTTTAAGCGGGTCATAAATAGTTGAACTGGTATTTTGTTTTAAAAGGGTTTTTTATGCAATTCATTCACTGCTAAAGGGCTCAAGCTTAGCTTAATCGAACTCAGAGCTCTGATGCACCTCTGAGCTGAGCTCTGAGTTCGAGGCCGCATATTCTAACAGCATTAACATCACAGAAACTAGACTAGACCACTCGGAGCATTGGCCGCTTCCCGGGCCGATCACCTCGCCCAGCGAGAGGTCTCCCTTTTCCTGCCACGACCACATACTTATCATTTTAATTGACAAAGACAAATATGATCTTTGTCTAATATCAATATTATGGACCTGCGGATACTCAAGGGTATATAATCACTGTCTGCTACTGCAATGACTGTTAAGCCTCATCCTCCCTTCAACCTATTATTTATTCTGTGCATCAACGTGAGAGAGCAATTATGCCATATTCTTACCACGAGTGAGATCCACATACAGTAGTTGATAATAGGATATTATATATTTGTGATAGTTCTTTGTTTAGACATATTTGAACTATGCTGCACCCATATTATTGTGATTGTGGCATCAACGGGACGGGAAAGGACCACGCTCGCACCAGAATACCAGCGTAAAACACGAGATTATTGCTTTTGTGTTTCGTTTGGTGAGTGTAGAGAACCAGATACCCTTTTTACTGGAAACGAGGCATTCCATCTTAGTCCTCACGGGTGACAACGCATCTGCATTTTGATTCGTAATCGAGGAAAGATGTAGATGTATATGGGCCACAACAACCACTTACCATCAGGTGGACTGTGTGCTCGTTTGTTACCCTTATGTTATAATAAAATCAAAGGTGACAACGTATTTTAATACTAAATCGAGGATAGATGTAGATGTCTATGAACATGAAGATGTATATCAGGTGGTCTGAGTGCACGTTTGTCACCCTTATTCTATAAAAAAAAATTTTATTCAACAGCTTACGATAGAAAATTTCCTACATCGTGATATATAAATAATATACAAATTGTACAGCAAAATCTGTTAACTTTCATTAAAACTATAGTACGTGAGGGTAATATGGTCATCCGGTTAATATGGTCACTTTCTTATAATTCAAAAACTACAGCCTTGTTAGCATAGATTGTTCTGTGATACGATAGCACTTCATCAATCATATAATAAAAGGTCAAAAGAGCGCTGCTTTATCGACGCCATTATGGCAGTTGACATTATGGTAAATATTTTAGTCGATTTTAGTATTGTGTATTATTGCCAAAGCTTGTTTTTTACTTAAAATATTAGTTATAGTATACGACTTTGTGTATTTGTCTCTGTCCTCCTCCTACTTTTGGTTTTATAGGGCGGCAAAGCTTAAGGTGACCATATAACCTTTACGTACCTTAATGAGGCCATCCACTACTTTTTCTGCCACAATGGCGGCGCCACTTAAAAGTGAAGTAAGGTGCTTTGGGGTTATTACGAAAATGGGGGAATTCCGATAATTACAAATTACGACTTAACTAGCCAATATTTTTTGCTCTGGTAAATTTATTCTAGACGACATTTTATTTGTCTCCCTCGCTTCAGTCGTTTCAGGTAGCTAGTCTCAATAGTGCGCGTGCAAAGTGAACTTTTCGGTGGAAACAGCTTTTTTCAACCCTTTTCGGTTTTTCGGAATTACCCCGGGTTCATTATCTTAGGAATTTGACAAATAATCTTAATGATTGTTTGATTTTATGATAGATAATCGTTTTTGAAGCCTTATTTTATAGGTTAGGATTAGCCAGCTATTGTTTTTGTGTTTTTTTTTCGGAAATACCCCACAGGTTTAATTACGAATTAATGAACTATCGAACTACTTTTCCATTGTAGTTTCCAGTGGCTGTCAATCTTTCGTCAGCATAAATTATTATTTTGGATAAGTTTAACACTTTTGCGAATTTAACCAACGGCAGTGGGCAAGGCGTACCTACCGCAATGCCAAATATTTAGACATAGTCCAGAAGGAATAGGCGCATAAGTACCGAAAACTATTCCACATAAATTTTTTTATACGATTCCCTTCAAATTGTCCTACTGATCATATAAATGCATGTTGCCATGGGACAACTCGGTGCCGTAGGTATTGTTTAAACTTGAATTGTTATTTTGAAACGGGACTATTTTATTATATTCTTTGATAAAATACTAATATAAAAGTCCCGTGGCTTTTTACGATAAAGTTAATATCTTCTATGAAATGTTAAGGCTTGAAAAATCCCAATTTTGGATACTTTTGACCCATTAGAAATGCATAAAGAAAAATAATAAAGTATGAACAATATTTTTTTTACATTTCTTGGCAAAATATAAATACAAAAGGTCCTATGACGTTTTACGACAAAGTTAATATCTTCACAGTTATGAGTTTTTAAAGGTTTGAAAAATCCCGAATGTGGATACTTTGACTCATTAAAAATATATAAAGAAATTTATATTAAAAAAAAATATTCTCGCTAACCTGTCATAAAAGTTTAAAGACACCTCTTTAACTAGCCTAATAAATGTCCAACCAGGGAAACCCTTAAATGTTTAGAACCACTGGACTTTATGTGGGGTAATTCCGAAAATTCAAGTAAGCAAAATATAGTTGTACTAGAATAATAAAGTATGTATCAATTCTTTTTGTAGAGGGGTATAGAGGAACGAAAAGTAAATCCAAACCTTCTGTCAAAAGTCAAAAAGGATCTCTTTTACGAATTTTCGGTATTACCCCGCGTTATATCGGAATTATACCTTATCCACAAGAAAAATATGTCAAATTTTAAATGATCGTATTTACGCAACGTAAAGGCATTTTATTAAGATGAATAACAAAATAATTAGAATATGCATTTCAATAAATAAAAGTGACAGGAGTTGGTTGTAAACTTTGATAGATTTTTTTTAAATAATTTTTAAATATGCATCGTAACAACTAATCAGAAAATATGTCGGATTTATCCCAAAGCACCTTATAATATTTGACAGATTTCATGGCGGGGAAGTTAATTTGTTACGAGAATGTAAAGGTTAATGTTTCTTTCTGTACTGTTATCTCTATTTTATATTAATAAGATCAAAAATAAATAAACCAAACCAACCACAGATATCCAAAAAGTACAAAAATTAAAAAAAAGTTAAAAATGTGCAAAAAATTAAAGAGCAAACCACTAAGACATTGTTTTGTGTATTAATATAATACTCTGATAAACAATTATGAAAAACAACTTCTCAATTAAATAACATTGTGTAACAAAAAACTTTACCTCAGTGTCAACTAGCGACATCTGGTGAACAGAAAATTATAATTAATAGAATCAGGCGTTACTTTGCGGAAATCCATTATATAAAAGCTTATAGAAAAATTTACTTCGCAAATATCCGCGTTATGAAATAAAATGATGTGTCTTACCTAGTATGAAGAGCACCTCCCGCCCTCCCTCAATTGCGTGCACCATGAAGCAAATACAAGTGCACTATCCCCGTCACCACTAATCCCAGCACCGCTACTCCCAACACCACTACACTAGGCAAGACACACCACTGACGACAATGACACGTGTTTCGCCTCTACACGAGGCATCCTCAGGTGATATAGACTCTAGCGGTTAGCCACCGTAGAGCACCAAAAATAACAATTGTATAGAACTAACCTTTTTTTTGTTTCAGGTTACAACAATCATGGGTGTCCTTGGCCGATTTTTGAATATTGTATATTTAGTATTATTGATCAAATGGTGAGTAACTTGTGTATATTTGTAAAAAAAAACTTTTCCTTTTCTGCCTAAGGCTGTCTGGGTAGGCACCAATATTTTAGCTATTTCTACCGCCAAATAGCCGTGCTTAACTGCTGTATTCCATCCTGAATAGAGGACCAGTATAGTTAGAAGCTGTGAGGCATTCCATCTTAGTCCTCAGAGGTGATAATGAATCTGTAGCCTCCTTTGTTTGCACTTTGCAGTTGGCATCAAGTGTCATTTGACAGCAAAGTACTCTTACTATCGGGTGGACTGTAATTTCATTTATTATTTCAGTTAAAAAAACATTAATGATACATTTTAACTTATTTTGTGCCAAACATTGCATCACCTTTCAGCAACTTTCTGGTTTTAGTCGCTCATCACCTAACATTACCAATATAACTTTGATGGCGCTCTGTTTACTATGATAGGGATAAAATTAGAATATAGAACTAAAGGAGATAAGATATAAAGAAGGATCATCTACGTTTATGAGCTTATTTTAGTCATTGCGCTTTTATTTTCGACCTTAAAAGCGTTTTTAAATAATGTATATGAATAGGAATATTATATATTTTTTTCGTATTTTAATTTACAATCTTTTATTTAAAGTTTTTTTTTAAATTGCTACACCACTCCATGCGTTTAATAATGAGGGCATCCACGCCAATTTTTCTGCCACCAGGGCGGCGCCACTAGAAAGTGAGTTATAATATTTGACAGATTTCATAGCGGGAAAGTTAATTTGTTCGGAAAATGTAAAAGTTATTGTTTCTTTTTGTACTATTAGCTATATTTTATATTAATAACATTAAAAATAAATAAATAAAACCATAGATAATTCATAAAAGTATTAAAAAAAATAAAAAAATGTTAAAAAAGTGCAAACAATTTAAGGGCAAACCACTGACGCATTGTTTTGTGTATTAATATAATACTCTAGAAACTGATAAACTTTTATTAAAAAACAACTTCTCAATACATTGTGTAACAAAAATAAACTTTACCTCAGTGTCAACTAGCGACATCGGATGAGCAGAAAATTATTAGCCCTCATTGGAGTATAAAGTGTGACAATAACTTGTAGTCCACTAGTCCACCTGATTGTAAGTGGCTACTGCGACCAGCTACAAATAAGGAACATCTGAGAACTAAGATAGAATGCATCCATCTGACATAGCCTGTGGTTACGAGTTCACTATCTCTCAATGCTCCTCAAACGGGGTCACATCAGTGCACGTAGTTTTAAGTACTTAATTAAAAAATTATGATTAAAATCATTGATCTTGATTATGATTAGGCTGATATCACACCTGCATTGATCGGTATATAATTTGATACAATAAATTTAATCAATATTTAATTGAAAACTGATTATAATATATATGGAATATATCGAATTTTTTTTACGTCGTAGTGAAAAATAGAGAAAAATTTAGAGGCATCTAAAGATTACGAAATATTTTTTTATCTACACATTTAAATAAAATTAAGTTTCTTTTTTTATAGGATAGGGTGACAAACGAGCACACAGTCCACCTGACGATAAGTGGTTGCTGTGGCCCATAGACATCTATCTACATTTATCATCGTTTGCGCATCAAAATGCAGATGCGTTGTCACCCGTGAGGACTAAGATAGAATGCCTCTTTTCCAATAAAAAGGGTCTCCGGTTCTCTACACTCACCATACGAAACACAGCAGCATGAAGCTGCTATTTGACGCTGGTATTCTGTGAGAGCGTGGTCCTTCCCCGGTCGAGCCGACCCATTCGTGCTACAACTATACTACTAATATAGCTGCAGCATGACTATACCATGTAAAAAATCTCTGTCTGCAAAAAAAATTCTGTCTGCAATATCAAAAAAATGGCTACTTTTAAGCTCAGGGGATTTTTTAGATGTTATTAAGATATGACTTTTTTTTTTAATTTTTTTAAAAAGGTCCGGGCTAATTCTGGAAATGGGAAGAGGCTAAACTGATAGCAAGGAAACTTAACGAACAGATAGCTATGCCAGGACAGATCTAGGCTGTATTTTATCCATAAAACATGCAGATCTTTTTGGGAAAATCAAAAATACATTATAATATGTGGTTTTGATGATTATCTTATAAACTATAAGAGATATTAATAAAGTATACGAATAGATCTGCGCGTTTTTTGTAGTAAACAGTGACATCATTGAACACTGTTTTGAGGCCAAATCAACATGAACATAATTTACATACATAGGTTCCACTTCATCACAGACAGCCGTACGCTTGTTAATATTGCAGACGTGAACGCGATGGGGATAGCGAGCTAAAGCCGCATGAAGTGCGTTCGCACTTTAATTATCCAGATATGTTTTGAAATGTTTATTCCGTCTGAGAATCCATTTGAACAATGTGTTAGAAATTAAAAATAAAAACTGTATTTATAGAAAGGATATTCTCTGTGTTCTATATTATTATATTCATCTTTATATATAAAAATTACGTGTCACGTTGTTTGTCCGCAATGAACTCCTAAACTACTGAACTGATTTCAATGAAATTTTGCACACTGTGTGCATTTTGGTTCAACTTGAGAGATAGGATAGTTTTTATCCCGCTAAATGACCCTCATTTTTTTTTATTACGAATTTAAGGTTTTTTTTATATGAGGGGTTGTCAAAAAAGGCAGAACAACGTCTGCCTGGCCAGCTAGTTATATATAAAAATTACGTGTCACATTGTTTGTCAGCGATGAATTCCTAAACTACTGAACTGATTTCAATTAAATTTTGTATACTGTGTGCAGTTTGGTCCAAGTTGAGAGATGGAATAGTTTTTATCCTGATAACTGACCCTCAATATTTTTTTATTGGATTTTAAAGATTTTTTATAGGAAGGGTCGTCGGAAAGGGCAGAACAACGTCTGCCTGGTCAGCTAGTATAATTATATATTCCTCTATGGCGCGGTCGTCCCCGGGGTGCTGTAAGAGGCGACAAAAGGAAAGCGTCTTCCTGATATCAGCTAGGAAATAAAAAAAAAACTGTGGTTGTCAATCCGCCTACCAAGCGTGGCAACTATGCTTAATATCCCCCTTATCAGGCTATTTGTGGGGGAAGCTTATGTTCAGCAGTGGACTTTGAAAAGTAAAAGATTCCATTATAATTTTATTCGGAAAATAAAATATTGAATACTGCAAGAACATATCAAAGAAATTGCACTACGTATTATCGGTTTTTGTTCAGATCGTATGTTTTCCTGTCTCGCCTTATATTTTTTTTTATAGAATAAGGTTGACAAACGAGCACACAGTTCACCTGATGGTAAGTGGATGCTGTGGCCTATAGACATCTACATTTCACCCCTGAGGAGTAAGATGGAATGCCTCGTTGCCAGTAAAAAGGTTCTCCGGTTTCTTACACTCACCATACGAAACACAGCAGCAATAAGCTGCTATTTTACGCTGGTATTCTGTGAGAATGTGGTCCTACCCCGGTCGAGCCGACCCATTCAAGCTACAACCATAATATAGCTGCAGCGTTGCTCTAACACCTATTAAAAAGGTTTTAATACCTGCTCACACCTGTTTATTGCATACATAGTAATTTACTTGTATTTATATACTATTACTTCTAACACCAATACTAGGGAAGACACACTATCGTCAATAATATGGCACATTAAGATAATAATGTTAATAAATCAATCATGTTATAATCAGGTGAGCTGCATGCTCGTTTGCCCCCTCTCCTATAAGTATAAAAAAAAAATAAGACCGCGATGGTCTTATTTTTTTTTATTTCTAATTCAAGGTGCTCTTCAAATTAGGTAAGACACATCATTTTTATTTTATTCCGAGGACCTTAGCAAATTGATTTTTAGCATCTAAGTATATTATAATTAATAGCTTGTGGATTATTATAATTAATGTTTTGTAATAAAAAATAAAGAGATCTAAGATTCTGACATCTATTTTTTTTTCGATAGGCATGATTGGACAAAATTTCATTTTGAATGGTAACATGTTAATGACATAGTGTAGGTAATTTTGTGTAATTCCCGGAAATATTCTTGCGTTTTCTTACCGTTTTCGTTCTTTTTTCGACACACTCGAAAACAGTGATGTAATCTTACGCGTATAGCACACGGCGAAATTATTAAATAATCAAAAGAAATATAGTGTAGGTATATTATAACTTTTTTTTTAGTGCTTATGCAGAAGATGAGAAATCTCCGTGGAATTGGTCATGCGAAGACGGGAAATGTGTAAAGTCTCGGCTAGATCCTAAGAGCCGGACACCCGCGCTCAGCTTGAATGCCTGCAAGATGTTTTGCAATGAATATGGTTAGTAATTTTACATAAATATAATGCAGTTTTTGTAACAGAATTACCTTTAAATTTTTATGATGATCTTCGGGCTGCAATAAGTTTAAAGAATAGGTTTTTAACTATCTATAATCGTTGTCGCACTGTACCCGAACGACAGAGCTAGACAACTAAAGAGCACATGAGTAAAGAAACCGACCAGACGTAAAGCTTCATACAACCACATGAGGAGTAAAGTCGGTTTCTTTACTCATGTGCTAAGAGCGACAACTACATCTTCCCGAATTAACTATACTACTTATTTAAAAATTAACAAAACTTTCATTCTGTATTCCTCTGTTTCTTCCTTCAAAAGTGGACCGATTTCATTTTATTTTCCAAGATCATTATATAGAATTGTGGCTGTCTGTATTTTATTTTTGTGTTCGTTAAATTTGTTTACTATATATCCTATATATATTATATATAATAATATACTATATATATTAACGGGCAATTTTAGTAATTTTAGAAGGTTCCGAGTTTTAAAAATAAATTATTCAAGAAAAAAAAATAAAACACAGGATCATGGCAATGGTAGATATTAGTTGTATCGTGAAAAAATATTTGCTATAGTGTCATAATTGAAGATGAAAACAGAGCAATACGTTTTTACGGAGTACGGACTAAAAGTCACCTGGATTTTAATATTTCATAAACCGTTTTTTTTCCATAAGAATCGTTCTGCAGCGAAGACAATGCACAAAAATTATTTATTTATAATATAAACACACGTTGAGAAACTTACAAATTTTTGAATAATAATAAATTAAGTGTACTGAAAGAAAAAAATCGTTCGGATAGTTCGTGGCAATTTTTGATGCTTAATTACGGATAGTGCTTAGAATACACAGGATATACGGTCAATTTTGCAGAGAAGGTATAGAACAAGTGATATAGGTGAATGAAATATTCTGTCCTTTTTATCTTTTAAATTCAGAATGCGTGTTAATGCATTATTTTAACTGATTGTCATTCATAAATATCTAACGCCTACTATTTTACTACTTCCGAACACATATTATTTATTCTTTGAACTAGGTCGGCAAAAACGTTGTGAATTGAATCGCACATCGTTTTGTTGCCCATGAATAACAATCAATTTGGGTAAAAATAATTAATTTCAAATAAAAGTAGAAAACCTTATTTTGGTCTTATTTTTAAAACTGCAATAACGGTATATCGTTCATTATGTGTATATTTGAAATCACATATAAAACTAGGACACACTTTGAAAAATAGCCCTGTATAATATTATTTGTCTTTTTGTTTTTAATAAGCCTGCTAATGCGATCCACAACCGTGCAAAGGCTTATTTTGAATATCATGCCCTATCTTGTATTAAGGAATTAAAAGTGATGTTGTTTAACCGTAGACACGCAAACAAAATCGCGGAAAAATGCTAGTAAATAATAAATTACTTCTTTTACATTAATATTCATTTTAGGTTGAAATACTTCAAACAAAAACTATGCCATTGAAATAGTATTATTAATAAAAAAAAGGACAATAACATAAGTAAACCAAAGTTAAAACTAAGCAAATTAAACCTAAATTAAAACGTTTAAATTAACAAAAGTTAAAAGTTAAAGTTACAGCCTATTTACGTCCCACTGCTGGGCACAGGTCTCCTATAATTATTGGGAGGGTTTTAAGGCAAGGAAATGTCCGACTGCCCCAATGCATGTTGGCGAACTTCACATGGCTTCCGGTTCCGGAATCGATCAGCGCCGGCATCAATGAAATTGTTAATTGCAATTTTAAATGCTGATTTACCACGTGCTCGGCGGTGAAGGAAAACATCGTGAGGAAATCTGCATGTCTGAGAAATAACAAAAAAATTAACAAACCGAATTTAAATAGATTAGATAGTACAAAATTGGTTAAAAATTATTTAAAAGCTAGGCGTTGTTCTCACTTCTAACATATTATTGAGATATTTTGTTCTGTTCAGGACTCCTATGGCCGTTGCCCACCGGTGAGGTTGACCTCGGGAACTTCCTCTCGAAGATAGATATTAACAAAATAGACATACAAATACCTAATCGAGGTAAAAGCGATGCCTTGATGGATGCGGCTGGACAGGTGAGTTTTGGAGTACTACGTTTGTTGTGTATTGTTACTAAGCTAACTAGGGCTTCAGCATCGTCTACAAAATGGCAATGCGATAGTGTAACTCTAGTGGGAATTGTTTCGTTTGATTTCGTTGTATCTGCTGTATAAAATACATACTCGTATAACAGTATGAGTATAAGCCGATGTAATTATAGTGATGAAAATTATAGTTACGAATGAATTTATAATCCTACTGATGGTACGAGTAAGTGGCTACTGCAGTCTACAGACACCTTTTTTGTATTTTTTTTATAGGATAGCGTGACAAACGAGCAAACAGTCCACCTGATAATAAGTGGTTGCTGTGACCCATAGACATCTACATCTATCCGCTATAAAAAAATCAAAATTCAGATGCGTTGTCATCCGTGAGAACTAAGATAGAATACCTCTTTTCCAGTAAAAAGGGTCTCCGGTTCTCTACACTCACCATACGATACACAGCAGCGTTAAGGCGCAGGTTGAGCAAAATGTCGCGCTAGTCGTTATTTGTGCGGTTTTCAGAAGCTATCTACTTTTTATTTAAAAGATATATCAACAAATAAAAAACACATTATATTTCTACATAATCTTGATTCCATAAAAGCTATATCCAATTTTTTTTTAAACTAATAAATATTAATCTCCTTACAACGAAACCACATAAATGTGAAATTATTATTGATAACATGGATCTCCTCGTAAAGTAAGTATTATTTTATTTTGCGATTTACACCAATGGATAGACAATTTATTAATAAACATTTCTATAGTAAATTTTTTTTCAAAAGACCAAAATTTGATTTTATTAAGAAATTATTTTAAAATCTGGGCATATTCACTGCTCACGGGCTTACTGGAGTCATTGAGCCCTGAGCTCTTCGACGCGAAGCCCGTGTCGTTAGAGCGTCGACCAGCGCCGCATACACTCACGTAATATCAGTCGATAAATAATATTACTTATTAGGTTATTTATAGGTAGTATTATTTGTTTTTTTTTGGGTATAATTTTTCGTATTAGTTATATATATATTTGTTGTGTTTTTTACTGCGCGATGAAGCTTTTTGCGTGTATTTTCTTTGAAGTAAATGCAAATAAAAAAATGAAGCACCATTGGCATGTAAGGTTCGAATCCATAATTAAAATTTCGATAAATATTATAATTTACACTATAAAAGGCTAATTCAATATTATCACCCAACCACAATATCTTATTATGTACAGTACTACCTCGTTGGTCTAGTGGTTGTAGTAGTGCGACTGCTGATCATTAGGTCCCGGGATCGAATCCTGGGTCGGACCCTGTCAGTTATGAGTTTTTCATTTATTTTCTAAGTTATAATTAGTATTACTAAGTTATAGTTTTTTGCTAAAATATAGTATATTATTTATTGCTTGTTTTTTCTTCTTTTTCAAAAAATAATTGAGTACATAAGGTGTTCTATACTTATACTTCGGTAAAAAGTATCTAAGTAGGTACTAATATACCTACTTTTTACTACTAAAAATTTTTAAAACTAAATTTAACTAAAAAGACTAAACTGACCATTTATTTTTTAACTCAAAACAGGACATGGGTTTATTTATACTCTAAAAACTATAACTTTATACAATTAGTGTTCACTGTAAAATTATATTCGGTATAGACGGTAATTATTAAATGCAACATATTTTTCGTAATTATTAATTACATTTGTCAGTGGATTAAATTTTCTTTAATAAAGTTAGTGATGATTTTAAATAAAAATAAAATTCTGCTCAAGTTTTTTTATTGTTATCTTTGTTAACAACATCGCCTTTAGAACTCTGGAACCGTAAGTGTTTCTTTCAGACGTCCACAATTTATTCAAAATAAAAAAAATACTCTTTCTACCGGAGCATTCGTACCAGGTAGTCATAAAATATATTCGATTAAAAAAAATTATGTTGAAGATTGTTGACTTTGAATACTTCCATCCAACGAGTTACGGGACAATTTTGTGTCCCGGAGCTTTGTTTGGGGACAATGGGACAGGTGACCGAGAAAAGGGACAGTCCCGTTCAAAACGGGACGTGTGGTCACTTTAGCTATAACGGAGCTTTGTTTGGGGACAATGGTACAGGTGACCGAGAAAAGGGACAGTCCCGTTCAAAACGGGACGTGTGGTCACTTTAGCTATAACCCGGCGACGGCTCCGTGGGGCAGTGGCTTAGCAATTAGTTGTTGCGCTGGGGGCCGCGGGTTCGAATCCCGCACGGAACAAGTATTTGTATGGCTTACAAATAATTGTTCCGGGTCTGGATGTTTGTCCTTGTGCAATTTATGTTTGTAAACTGCCTCCACGACACAGGAGAAAATCCTAGTGTGGGGGTTTTTTTACAATTGAAATTGAAAGATTGAACCCTTATACTTCTTGTTGATTTTTGTATTAGTAGTTAGGTATATTACTTTTCAATACGTGACACGTAAAAATTAACAATAATCAAAAACACATCTACGAATCATCCTATTTATTTATTTATTATTTATTGCACCAAATATTTGTACAAAAGGCGAGCTATCTATTTATTTACCTATAGTGAATAGGTATCTTTTAAACTCATAATTTTCAATGCTTCATTTTTAATATATAATTAATTATAAAATTTCATAATTAGATAATATATGAAAATACATAATTCTAATATAATGCAACTAATATACCGAATAAAAAAATTAAAATACATTTATCGTTGTACGCTGTGTGCAAAGATATTTTATGACCTATAAAACATCTTTGGCTGTGTGTATTTCCATAAATTAGTTCATTGATGTTGAAAAAATAATACTACGTTCGTACCTACAATAGGTGGTGGCGTCGTACATATTTCAAATAAGCAATATATTGAGGCGAGCGGCGTGCCGCCGGCAAAATGCTCAAGGTCGTTCGCATGGAGTAGCCCCTTAAGCTGCCATTTTACGCTGGTATTCTGTGAGAGCGTGGTCCTTCCCCGGTCGAGCCGACCCATTCGTGTTACAACTATACTACTAATATAGCTGCAATATGGCTCTACCACAAAGAGGCTAAGATTCGTTTTCACTTCCGAGTTCTGAAGACTAAGATAGAATACTTCACAGCCTATAATTATACTGGTTCTCTATACACAAAGAGTACTTTGTATATATTATGAAATAAGTGATTAATAGGGCATTATTCATAACGTGAACAGCACCACCAGTGTGCCCGGGGCACACTGGTGGTGCTGTTCACTATCATAAGTAGGGACTTTGGGTTTGCTATTCTCGAATGTATAATAACTTTATTTTACTTTTTAGAGGTTCAGACAAATCGTTTCCTTGCTGGTGCCTAATGAGCTGTCGGCGAAAGCGAGTGGAAAGGCGCTCACCGTGTCTTTAGTCAACGAGAAACCAGATGTTCGAGGTTAGTTGTTATAAACAAATATAACAAAAAAAGTCAAAATTAAACGCGACAAAATCCGTAAAATTCGTTTCACTTTAGCTTATTAATGCGTTTATATACTTAATTTTAACTAATTAAGTATACTTCAAGTGGTTTTTAAACCCTGTGGATAATGGTGAAATGCGAAATATATTAATACACAAAACAATGCGTCTACTTCACTTTCTAGTGGCGCCGCCCTGGTGGCAGAAAAGGTCATGGATGCCCTCATTAAACTGACATTCATACCTTTCACCGACGAGCGTGTATGCGTAGATATATGGATGTAAAGTGGGGCGAAAGAGGTTTGTCAGGATCGTGCCAAATGGATGTCCGTAGTCTCTGCCTACACCTCTGGGTCACGGGCGTGAGTGTTTATGTACGTATGTATGTATCATACCTTTCAAACATGCACACAGTTCTCAGTTGGTTTTCATTCGAACCCAGAGCATGCAGTTCATCTAACAATAATAATTACGACGGATAAACCACGCGGCAATTATATTAACATAATTAACATACATACATACATAAACACTCACGCCTGTCACCCAGAGAGTTAGGCAGAGATTATGGACTTCCATTTGGCATGATCCTGACACACCTCTCTCGCTTCCTCCACATCCATATACCTACGCATACACGCTCGTCGGTTAAAGGTACTCTTGATATGGCCCATTTTTAATATATCGCCAATTTGGTCGATAAACTTTCGCCTAGGGCGACCCTTCCCGACTATGCCGTTCACCTCTGCAACATAGATTTGCTTTGTCACTCTTTCCTCATTCATTCTTTCTACATGGCCAAACCACCGAAGCATTCCTTTCTTAATCCTGGTCACAACATCATCTTGCAAACCACACTCTTCTCTTATTAAACAATTTCTCACTCTGTCATTCAGCTTCATCCCTAACATACTCCTTAATGACCGCATTTCTACAGCATTTATTCTACTCTCATGCTTCTTCTGCCACACCCAACTTTCACTACCATACATTAAAGTAGGTACTAACACAGCATTGTGAATTGCCATACGTGCCTTTTTGGACACATTCTGACTTTTCACAATAGCTACACTATTTCCTGCATTCACTCGTCGTTCTATATCCTTATCATATCTACCATCCCTGCTAAACACACATCCCAAATATACAAACTCATCTACTTGCTCTACCAACTCCCCTTCTATTCTTATTTCACATATCGTTTTGCTGTCTTCTCTTTCAAAAACCATAACTTTCGTCTTACTTGCGTTCACTTTCATTCCCTTTTCTTTTAATGTCCTGTTCATTAATGTAACCATCATTTGCAACTCGGCTGCCGACGATGCAAGTATGATTAACATCAATAAATAAAATAAACTAATAATATATTTTTTTTTTTAATAGGATAAGGGTGACAAACGAGCACACAGACCACCTGATGGTAAGTGGTTGCTGCGGCCCATAGACATCTACATCTATCCTCTGTTACAAATCAAAATGTAGATGCGTTGTCACCCGTGAGGACTAAGATGGAATGCCTCATTTCCAGTAAAAAGGGCCTCCGGCCACCTGCACTCACCAAGCGAAACGCAGAGGTAAACCTCTACTTCACGCTGGTTTTCTGTGAGGTCGTGGTACTACCCCGGTTCGAGCCGGCCCATCCGTGCGACAGCAAAAGCTGCCGCGTGGCTCTACCACTGTCAAAATAAATGAAATAAATATACTAAAGTATTAAATATTTCATATGTGATAGGCATGCTTCTTTTTTTTTGCTTCTAATGCAAGGCTACCCTCCGGAAGCGGGGGAGGGAGGTGGTGAATGGTCATAGCATACCACGCCGGCTGCGTGGTTATGTGAGACTTTCTATGAAGTACCTACCCACTAAACACCACCTGTGGGACTGGCTTTGGCCTGTATGGCCTTTCTGCCGAATCGAAAGCGACCCCCGTTAGCGAAAAGGCGGCGCAATTTATAGCCATGCTGCAGCTACTCGTATATTATAGTTGTAGTATATGCGTCGACTCGACCGGGCAGGGGATACCAGCGTAAAATAGCGGCTTAATGCTGTGATATGGTTAGTGTAGATGTCCGGAGACCCTTATTATTGGAAATGGAGCATTCCGTCTTAATCCGCAGAAGTGGCATCCTTCACCAACACGTGCATCGATCATAGATGTACATCTCTGTGGGTTACACATAGATGGGGCTACAGCATCCACTCACCATTAGGTGGACTGTGTGCACATTTGTCACCCTTATTCTATAAACAAATCTTATGGTAGTGACGAAGATATTTATGTCGTCATCATCATTATTACACCGCTTCACAAGACCGCTAGTCACTGGCCACTCCCAAAGAATGGAACGAAAACTAGGTCATGAGGTACCACGAACGCTGGGACTAATTTAGTTTTTCATTTATAGTAATGTCTTAAAAGGTTCCAAAAACAAAGGATTTTTTGGCTTCCGTTCACGCAGAGAAAGTTGCAACTTACTCGTAGTTAGTAATACTTAATGGATAAGAGAAAATGGAGACCTCGTATTCAGACAATGAGATTCTGGTTTGTAGCGATGCATAAATTGTTTATTTTCATGCAACATTTAATCTTCATCGAAGCGCTATAATGTACATAATCGGATAACACGTAATAGAATTTGTGACATTGTAGGTCAATAACATTTTGGCAGTCGCTTGCTTTGTCACATGTGACCACGTACTGATCTATGGGAACCAAGATAGAATGGAATGGAATTCTATAAGAAAAAAGTGTCTGTCGAGCTATTTATAACTTTATACGTATTAAAATAACACTCATTAATCACTGGCTTGGCAGTAAATAAGGATAATTAACAAACTCAAGGTCATTTATTAAAAAAGTCAATTCCGGTTTACGTCTCCCACCATACAAAACACATAAGTATAATTCTGTTATTTCACCCTGGTATTCTATGGGATCGTGGTCCTTTGCCGCTCGAAACGACTTATATACATATGACTCTATCGCGAATAATTCTATTACGAAGTTCGTTTACATTAGCAATGGCTCAGGACCGTGCTTTGTAGTAAGTATTTCTTGAGGGCGGCCTATGTGTAATGGACTTGTGATGGGCTGTAATGATGATGATGATGATAACAATGTCTCAATTACGGACTAGGTTGCCTTTCTATCATGGCTGAAAGTCCATCTAGGTTAAAACTCTTGGAACTAACGTCTAGTGCATCTCCGTAGTCAGTATAATCATTAGTACGAGACATATTTACTTCGGGAGTGAAAAAGTTGACAACCTATTCGTTGTCTGCTTTGTTTGAATAAAGATTTCTTACGTTTACGCGAACACTGCACATTTGAATGAAATTATTCCTTACGGATTTTGTCGCGTTTATTTATTTATTTTATATTCCCGGTTTTCAACGTTTGCTTTGCTTGAAGTTATTCATTTCATAGTCAGTCTGGGCATTTTATACGAGATTATAATAACGCGATCTAGCGAAGGCCAAGAAGTTAAAATACATTTTCTTAGGCTGCCAACACACGGCGAACTAACGATTAAATAATTACGATTTATTTGCAGAGTTTTCGATGGGTATGGATGAGAGCTACACGTTGCGTGTCGCCCCGATGTCCAACGATCGCATCAACGCCACCATTACGGGTAACACGTTCTTCGGGGTTCGACATGGCCTTGAGACACTGACGCAGATCATAGTCTACGATGATATCCGGGATCACTTATTGGTGAGATAATATTGTTTTGGTAATGTCTGAAATCCGTTCTTTATCTTCATCTTCTTCCTCAGCTAATTAACAACTCACTGCTGAACATATACATACATAAACACGCTTGTCGTCTAAAGGGGTAGGCAGAGACTAGGGATTTCCATTTGGCACGATACTCATACACGTTCATCGGTTAAGGGTACTCTTAATTTGGCCTATATTTATTTACCTGAACCATACAACTTTACCTCTCCCATTTTTGTCCATACTATACGGTTTCCTACCTATCAGATTCAGAACGGTAATGCGATTGTTAAACAGTTATCCGGCCATCGATCTGGAGGTCTGCCCACATATCTTCTTTCCTACCAGTCTCCAAGCCAGAACGTATTTGCCCCATCAACCATCTTGTCTACGGAAAATAAGGCAAGCCTTGGTAGGATATACTATAATTGCTAGGCTTGGCAGTCGGAGGGCGCTAGACTTTCACACCTTCGACGTTTCACACTTTTGACAGGTGATTATTTTCGCCATGCTACTGAAGTCATATGATCTTCCTAGTTTTCCTGACAATTATTGGAACCTTTATTTATTACCATTTAACAAAAACATACATTGATATCTAAAGTAAGAAACGAATTAACAGTCCGTAACGGTTTTATACGTGGTAGAGCCACGTTGCTGCTATATTATGATTGTAACCGACCCAGGCTTGACTGGAGAAGGATCATGTGCTCCCAGGATACCAGCGCAAAAAAAAGGCAGCTTTATGCTGTTGTGGGTAGTATGGTGAGTGTAGAGAACCGGAGACCCTTTTTACTGGAAACAAGGTCTTCTTAGTGCTCAAAGGTTAAGGGGAATCAAGGATTAGTGTAGCTGTCTATAGCCCACAGCATTCACTTACCATCAAGTGGGCTGTGTGCTGGTTTATCACCCTTATTTAAAAAAAAGTAGATTCTGTAGTCCATAGACATGCTATCCCTAAGGAATGAAATACCTCACAACTTTTAATTATGATGAAACTTATTTTTGATAAATATCTAATTAGTACATATGATTGAACGGGTGTTATATACCTATTATTTTTTATATCATTCGGGTACTATAGTAGTAATATTTGTTTCTCTTGTATAATCAAACGTTGGCGCAAGGCATTAAATATTTAAGAGTCAGCACGGCTTGTGTGAAACGAGATTGACATTTATAATTAGTTTCAGTGGAGTTGTCACAAAGTTGTTGACTGCTTAAATTATTCAACACAGAGAAACGTATGACCTTACTCTATGATTCTACTTTTATTTAGATTATTTTCTATCGTGTTACCGCATAATTTTTTTCTACGTGAACCGATTTTGATGATTCTTTTTTTATTTGAACGCTGGTGGTTCTATATAAATTTGATCACGATCAGACCAATAGTTTTTGAGTTATCCTTAATAATATAATATATTGTAATATAAGTCGGTTGTACAAAATTTTAAATTGTCTATTAGGCGTTTCTTTTGCCTTATCTTTTTAGTTTACACCACAGTAGTAGATATAAAAAAACCTTGGGCATCAACTTTTTAATGTCTTATGTGGTAAAAATAGAGAATTAATTTTATGGCTCTTGAGTAACTCGAGTTCTATCCTCGCTGACTCAACTGAATTTGTTAATTGCAATTTTAAGTGCTGATAAATATTGCTTACTCGTGAAGAAAACAGCCTAACCTAGGGAAACCTAAAAGTTAGAAAGATAAAAATTAATCGGAGATACGCCATAACCAATTAAGACATACTATTCCCTTTCAAAATAGTTTTTCAGATATTTTTATGATGATGCTAATTTTACAAATATCCACAAAAATATTTATAACAAATTAATGACATCGAGCACTCCACGCTTTTTTACAATAAAATGATTTTTATGTTAATCACTATTTTCTCATTTTAAACCTATTGAAAATTATTTTCTACTTTTTAGTTCGGTTATCTACAAAGGTGTGTTTTTTTGGAAGTAAGTTCTTTTACGTATCTTATAGTAGATTGAACTGGCAGAAATCGTAGTTGTTTTATGAATTATTCGCAAATCCTGATGATCCTGGCAAGGTCAGGACCAATGACAATGTAATTATATCATTGTCATTCGTCCTGGATAAGTGTGCGAAGTTTTAAATCAATCCGACGTTTTGAAAGGGATGAAAATCACATTCAAAAATTCCCTTACATAGGTAGGTACATACCAAACTAATAAAAGGCGTAATAAAAAACATGCGTGAGTTCCGTGTAACACTCGGTTGGAACGAAGTTCCTTTCGTAGTATATTATTATTGATTAAACGTATTATATTAATGATGAACAAATACAAATAAATGAATTACTAGCGTCTATTAAAGTAATGCGTCATCTATACATATAATAAAACTGTAAATAGCAGATGTCTGTACATTTTATATTTTTGTAATAAAAGTGATTGAGGGGTACTAAAAATAAGTAATTAAATACATTTCTACCATTTTTAGAATTTTCTGTCTGTCTGTCTGTCTGTCTGTCTGTCTGTTTGTTTGTTAACGTATCACGTTTAAAGTACTAATTTATATCATAAGAATTGTTAAGGAAATTATAAAGTAAACCTTCGGGTTACATTTAGTCTTTATTTCATTAAAATCGGTTCATTCCATCAAAAGTTATGATAAATATTCTGAAGTATGGGTAGGGAATTTGCTCAACGGTGGCTTTGTTTGAGTCATCAAGTTGATGTTAGCAGCGCCATCTCTCTTTAAATATATACATATAATAAAAATGATGATAACATGTTGTGTCTCTTTCTGTACATTGTATATATATATTATGGTGACTAAAATCATTATGGGGAACTAAAAATAATTAAATAAGTACATTTTTATAATTTTTAGAATTGTCTTTCTGTCTGTTTGTCTGTTTTTATATGAAAGCATCACGTCTAAAGTAAACATCTTTTTTTTTTCAAAGAAATCGTTAAGAAAATCATAAAGCGTATCTTCGAGTTACATTTAATATATGTTTTATTAAAATTGGTTAATTCTATCGAAAGTTATGATTATTATTTTGAAATGTAGGTTCGAATTTGTTTAATGGCGCCACAAAATCTCAGAAATAGTAATAAAAAGATACGTGTGTAAAAAAAACGTTCTATTATAATATATTTATACTTAAAACACAGTAAAAAAAAATATGTTTTCCTTAAATTAAAAAAGGATGTTTTCTCACAAAGAACGTAATAGATGGCGTTGTACAAATTACAACCTTTTCTGAATTGCGGTGTTAAGATTTTTCGCAGGTGAATCGTATTGACACTCACTGAAAAATTTTATGTTCATGAGTCCGACGAAGCTGCAATCCTGTTAAAGCCGTGTAGGCTAACAACACAAAGAAAAAAGAGACGTACGTACGTCGAAATTATTCAACAAAACTCGAAAACTCGACTAAAAGTAGTAAATTTGCAATAAATGTCGTGATATTGTTTTATACCCAGAATCCCTCTAAACCTCTAATACCAAATAACTGTTGTTGGCATCGATAGCTCAACATCGATGTTCGATGTTTAGGCTACTCAAAACATCGATGATGACCATTATCGATGGTTTTTGTATATGTGTAGATACTTACACATTGTTTTAAAATTATGTGGGTATACACATCAAGGGAAAAGTAACAATTAACTTGAATATCAATTTACGTAGAATAGTTATTATGCGACAACCGACAACGACACTACAAAATAAAGCGAAAGCAGTGACCATTGTGACATCACAGGTGACACTTGACAATTAAGTTTGACTCACCATACTGACATTTTTTAGGTTAACGATGCGTTCAGGAATTCTGAATTATTCAAAATTTTTAATCTTCAGAGCAGATGCAAGATTTAGTTGATATTGATTTCGCGAGTTCGCATTGTTTGCAAGTTCCCAATTATCGATTATGGGTTCATTGACGTCGATGTTTCGATGTTTGACATGTGTCAACATCGATGTTAAAACATCGAAGTTTTAATTTTTAACATCGATGATCATCTAACATCCCTATTTTAAGTGTGTTTCCCACTCAGCGTGTGTTATGCGACGATCGTAAATAAAGCGCAAGGTCAAACTTTACGCGTTGTAGGAGTGGACCCCAGTACTGATTGTTTTGCACATGGCCAACTCTATGCCAACCTTTTTCTGTACGCCCCGGCTAAGTCTACTTCTATCGTCGTTTACACGGAAGCTCTATCATAAACAACTTAGAACTTTGAGCGTATCGATTTATTTTGTTACCACTTATTCATACAGTAATGATATAAATCGTTTAATATTCTCCTACCCTAAACGTCAAATTCTTTAAGTAAAACCTATATTCGCGAGCTACGCCGCGGGCACAGCTAGTTTAAAATAAAATAATATTCATGGCAAGATAAGAAAAAGTTCGAGGGAGATGGATATTATTCCATATCGCTTCCTTATAGCCGCCAAGGCCGTCTACACTACGTCAGAAGGGGTCGTGACGGAAAAATTTTACACTTTTTCTCGCCCAGCCCCCATCCGCCAACTTCGTACCGTCCGATAAGAAATTCGTTCCAATAGGATTACTATTTCATTGCATATTGTATTTGTTTTCATATCAAATTCCGCTAGAAACCAAAGATGAGCAAAATAAGCTAACCGGTTTGAGGACGTTGATCTTTTTATTTGTTCTCACTTCATTTACATAACAACATCTCTATGTAAATTGTCTGCTTTGACATTTATTGTAATAAAAGAACTGTGGGACAGACCATAGCAACCAATGCCATGATTTTCGATTTGTCGCGTACAGATGTTAGGTACATATATGTAGATATTATTACTCTAAGGTACAGATAGAAGCTGTATTGCATTTTTAAATTCATATTATGTGTATGTGTGCATGTGGTTTTTCAATCATGAAATAGGGATAAGGATGGTGGAGTTCGGCTAATTTGAAACTGCACGCGCCTTCCTTGTATTTCTGGCAGATTTTGTCACATTTAACATGTCAAA